AATCTTGTCTAGCCTAAGTGTGCTTCCAGCACTCCCACAGCTTTTTTTTTCTCGGGAGCAAACTGGGCAGAATACAAACAGGGCCCAAAACTGGAATGCCAGCTGTGTGAGATGGTGCTGGGTACAACCTCACCTGCAAACTTCACTTTTGGAATGAAAAAAATTCTTCTCCTTCTCTCCATCTGCTTGTGCAGTTTTCTCTGTTTTACCACCAGATGCATTAGGTGAGTAATTCTTTTCCCAGTGTCCATGTCTTTGCCTCTTTTTTCCTTAGCTTGGTTCAAGCTGCTCTACCCTGTGTTCAGCCCCATCCACAGATATTTTTGTCTGGTTTTTTCCCCAGCAGCCTCTGTTGGGCATCTGTCATTTCTTGTGCTCCTTCAGGGAATCCTTCGTCTGCTGTGTTCTCCCTTGGGTGGCTCTGGTTCCCTGCCATACCTGCCTTTTTTCTAGGCAGTCCCACATCTTTTTTGGTCACACTGGCATCTTCTCTGTGTTTTATAGCAAACATGTAACATGCTGATACGGGCTTGTGTTTTACCGATTGTGCATTTTTTGAGTGTTTTGAGTATTTTTTGCTATTCTCAGCGGGACTTTGGTGATGTTTTACTGCCAAGCCTGCATTCTGGGGAGGTGAAGAGAACAGAAGTGCTTTATAAATAGATTTTGAGTTTTGTGAATTTTGGCACCTAAAAAAATTTCAAAGCAGGGAAGTAAAATCTCTTTTCTGCAAGGTTTTTTTTCTTGGCGAAGTTTTTGGTTAGATGTTTACTCTTTTGTTTCAGGGTATGACAAGTACATTAAAAAAAGCCACAAATGAATGGGGAACTTGGTGCTGTATTGAGTTGGGACTTCTCGTGTGGCTGTGATTCATGGTGGCTTTCCCTGGAGAGCTCTGTCCCCAGCTCTGTGCCTGGTCCTGCCTGTGCTCAGCTGCTGCTGCAGTGAGAAAACAGCCCCTCGGCACATGCAGATTTATCTGCAATCAGCCCATTTGGGGGAGAGAGCCAAGCTGGTAGAGACCTGAAGTCAAGTACCTGAGACACTTTCCACCTTTTTATTAGTTGTCAGACGCCCTCTATAAACCAGCAGTAACTGGAATAGTAAACTGTCTGTGTCCTGTCAGAGAACATGCTGTTCCCATTTACTCTTGGTGTGAGATGGGTGAATCTCACTGTGCCTCTCCCATCCTTCTCCTGTCTTGTCACTAGAAGCTGAGGAGTTTTGAGGCTGTTCTTTGCCTGCTGCTTGTGTGTTTGAGGGTGAGCAGCCTGGGGCAGGCACTGGCTGGGCTGAAGGTGTGAGGGGCTGGGTGGGTCAGCCCTGCCAGCTCCCACCCTGGACCTGCTGCTGCCATTCCCCTTTGTTACAGCTCTGTGTGCCCACCCTGGGGTGTCTGGGGGCTGTGTTTGGGGGTGCCTGGAAGAGGGCTGGAAGCAGCTCTGCAGTCTCCTGGCTCCTCGCTGCTGGGTCAGCAGCCCAAGGGGCTGGGGGGGGGGTGCTTTGGCATAGGGGAAAGGCTTG